AGTCATGCTTCAGCAAAATTAAGCCCCGTTGGTGCCTAGTCATTGCCTAATCCTGCATACTAATAAAGTGCCCAGTCACTGCCTTCCTGCATACTAATTAAGTGCCTAGTCAGTGTCTTGCTACCTAGGTAAAAATGCGTTCCTCCATCTACTAACTGTCTTCCTGCATACTAATTCGGTATAGGTTTACTAATGAGGGTCTCTCTACTACAATACACACATACTTTATTAGGGCTTTTCAATGGGCACAATGGGCTTGCCTCGTCTTGCCCGTTAAGTAACTTGAGCCCGGTTTACCGGAACGTCTATTAAAAGGAAAATAGCAGCGATCACCTAGCAACACTAGAAACAGCTTCCTATATCTTATTTAGCGCTAAAACTCAGATATATAAACAAAACACCTTCAGAAAGTGGAGTTGAAAAGTCTTTATTTCAATGTAATTTACGTCTCCTTATATAGCGCTGAAACTCGGATATATAAACAAACCACACGCACATATTCACAAAGTGAAGCTGAAAACTCTCTGTTTCAATTTTGTCTGAATAAAACTCTCAACCAAATACAACGAACAAAACAACGGGCCGTTAATTATAAAGACACCATCTCTGTTTTCTTTTGGACTGTCACCAATGCAACAATTCAATTCAAAACTAACGAATTGATGAGTTATTCTATGCCTGTATGTCTGTGGGGAAAAGAGGGGCGGCGCAGGAAGAAAAACAGTTTTACGAAAAATTAAAAGAAATCGAAAAAGAATGCAAAAAAGCTTCGGAAAAAATTAGGATCAGAAATATTGATCTAAATACTTTTTATTAAAAAAAAGAAGACGGGAAAATTGTACAAGACATCACTAGTGCTTGACGCAAAAGTTCCATATTTTAACAACACGATCTCAATTATCTTTAAAACCAAGAGCAATAAACCTTTGGATACGTATGACTATCTGAACAAACGTTGCTGGGCCAATCTGGCTTTGAAAATAGAAAGCATTTATGTCAGGCGCATGGTGTCTTTGCAAGTTAAAGTTTATGAAGCTTTTGAAAAGCCGCTCGACCTGAGAAAAAGCATACTGGTTGGATGAAGAAGGGGAAGGAATGTGACCGGCCAGGGTGAGTAGGGCGACATCATTTCTTAAAATTATTGTAGTCATCTTCGCTTTTGTATTGATGCAAAATAATGAAAACTCTGATTTTTGAGACCGAGTTAGGACTGGACGCAAAGAAAATTTATGATTTTTTAAATTAAGGACATTAAATAATTTAATTAAAGATATATTATGTAACTATGAAATCCACGGAACAAGCACGCAGAAATGACAAAAACACCAACTCTTTCACTTTTTATTTTCCCAAAGTGTTCTGAAAAAAGTATGAAAAACGTGCCAATTATATTGGGGGGAATGCTGCAGCGAAAAAATGCAGGTGGATCTCGTGTATTCAGAACTAATCTGTCAGACATTGAAACGATGTGAGCGTATATTTGGTGCTTATTTTGCTAATAATGTGCCGCGGTTGCAGCCTGAAAAGGGCTTAGTGGGAAAAAAAATTGCAAGGCTTTTTCGGTCAAAAACGTTATATTGCTAACCAATTATGGCTGAGGGAAAATGGTGTTTTGATTTTTTTATCAAAAAAATTCTTGACCTTGTGTTGCCTTTTAATGCTGATGAACGAGGAGAGTTTGAGGAACATAATATAAATAAAAAAATAGATCAAAACGGAAATATGAGCTGATTTGACGCGCTTTTTTAAAATACGCTGGAGAAAATTATTGTAAGGATCTTCAACCCGAACAAGGCAACAGAAATAACAAAAAAGGGGAATTAAAAGAAAGATTGTTACATGAATTAAAAAGTGGAGTTATGGGACCACATCTTGACCTGAAAAAGGATACCCGTCAATATCTCTTAACGCCTCGATTGTCTCTCGCGCAATGTTTCGTATTTGCTTAGTATCTGTTGGGGCACAAAGGTTACTAATTAAAGAAACAATCGCGTGCAAGATTGCAGTCATCTTCGTGTGGAATTGCGGAAAGGTACAGAATGGATTTTTTTCGCCAATTGGGCAATCCTAACTCTAACTTTTATTTTACGTTAATTGCATTTCGGGCAAGAGCGTGACCCCATCGCCTTTCTTTCCATGGAATAGAGTCAAGAGATTTTACAATTTTTTCTGTCTGCCGCGTGTTTTCATTTTTGTTTTCGTCTTCGCCATACTTTTGCTCGCGGTGAGAACAGACACTGTAATTAACGTCGTGTACCATAGAGACTGCGTTGGTGGGCCCAGTCGACTGTTGGTATATTTCCAATATCTCTCCCGTTTCAGGGTTGTATTTCAGTTGGCTCTCAAGGGGATTAAATGGCCCAGTGTAATTGTGGCCGGGTAGAGTCCAACCCTATTTGGGGGCCGGCAGTTTTCCAATGGCAGAGTGAATTTCAAACCCTGCGCCATCTAAATCAGGTTTTTTTTGTTTTATAACGTACGTTCCCTCGGGCGAACCTCGGTTGATAGTTGGTCAAGAAGTGGACATCCAACTTTTTCTATTGCAGGTCGAGCCTTTTCCAGCTCATAGTTGCTGGCTTTTTTCTGTAGTTTCGGGTCGCGTGTGGATTCAGAAGCATTATAGCGGCCCATCTCTAAGCTCTTATTCCCAAAAAAGGTACGCCTTTACCAATAGCAAAATCGCCGACAGTCATTGCTACATCGCCAAAGAGGCCTCTGTTTGCACATTTAACTTTCAACATTTTGCGATTATTTTCTGCCATGACTACTTTCTCGGCTCCCTCGACGTTAGGAGTGAGTCACCTTTCTTTCACACAATAGGTCTCCATTTTATATCTAAGAGAATTAATTTTTCACAATTCAGTCGTTTTCATGTACATCATCAGAAAACATTTTAAGGATGGTCTTGAAAATTTTGCCTTTGTCTTTTGCCTTGGAACTTATTTCGCCTTTGTTGATCAATCCTTTTTCCCATTCCAAAGGAGGCGGGAGGCCGAAAGAGTCAAAGTACTCGTATTCTTCTTTTGTGAAAGTCAGCAACAAAAGCAATGAGTTCCCATACTGCAGAAATCGTCCAAGTTGATTATGCACGGTGAATGAGTTAGAGGTTTTATTTCATTTCTGGCAAAGATTCCTTTGATTGGGATGTTAAGCGCCTTGCACCAATTCATCGAGTCAATAGTTAAGAGAGGAAAGTCTCTGAACTTTAGGGTTTTTTTTTCAAATCATCATCCCAAGAGCCGAAGAAGAGCGGAGCGCGTATGTACATGCCTTTCCCTTTGGGCGGCTGCAGCAGTGAGCGGCTCCTACGAACCGGTGGTCTTACTTGCGTGCCTTTACCGAACAGTTTTGATACCAGGTCAATAGCAAAAGGGACCCCAATGGAGGCAAGCATGCCAAGAAACCCGCCGTATTGCGCTGGACCGCCTCCGCGCACCATTCGTTTTGCGACGAGGTAGTAGGTTACAGCCTTTTACGGGGTCATTACTTGAACAGTTTGTAAAGCTGATTCTGTAAAGGCCTATAACCCTTTCCGAATATTTCATTTACAACCTTTTCGGGACCAAAGCTGAGACCTGTGCTTGCCAAAGCACCGAGAACTGGTTTAATCATAGCCTGCGAATACAGCCGTTTCTCCTAGATCCTCGCCGACAGGACGTTTCCAGGAGAAAGGACTGTATTAGCAGGCTAGTTCAGCAGGGATTTAGCGTGCCCCGTGATGGCAGATAACAGGCAACCACCGCGTTGGTCAGTCTTTTGCATCTGGTTTGGCTCATTTTACGGTCAGCCCCTTTTCACCCTTGATCTGCTTTTCTTAATCGGTTGATTTGAGTGGCAGTCAAAAGAATTTCATCCCCACGTCCAAATTGTTCTGCTTAAGCCTCAAAGTCACGGGTGTTTTTGTCGCAAAAGCAGTTTGTAGTTTTTTCTTCTGGCCATCTGCGATCTTGAATTGATGGTAAGAAGAGGATGCCATCGTATATTTAGAGAAAATTTTTTCATGAAACCTCATGGTATTTCTGGGCGTTGGCTGCCTCATTTAGTCTATAGTGGAGGGTCAAAACCTTGGGGTCGCCTGTGAGGCTTTAGACGGCTCCCAGGTCGAAGTAGATTATGGGGTAAAACAAAGTGAAGTTGCGATCCTCACTTTAAAGTCGCTATCGTACTCCATTTCGGGATAATACTCGTTTCCATATTGAAGGCGGCAAGTGGATAGTTTGGCTGAGTCGTCGCCATCGAGATAAAACGTGTCAGAAGTAAGGCATTTTGCTTTCGGGTTTGTTGAAAGAACACAAACATATGTTTTGGCTTTGTGTTATTAGCCAAGTTCCGGCGGCATCGCGCCAGCTGGGGCTGGAGTGCAAGGTTTCTTTCTAGTAAGTCTGCTGGGTTTCCTTAAAGAAGTTTTCGTTGACCATTTTTTGGCCTTCAGCTGTGAACCGTACCGACCCACAATTCAAACTTACGGACAACAATCCTTGCATCGTTTTAAAAATCATTTCTTTGTCGTCCTAGGCCTGCAGCACTATTTTGAACTCCAGCTGCTTTGGAAGCAAAAGCCGGTCGGAAAACCAATCAAAGAAACAGTAACGGTTTAGGGGCAGAAGCGCTTCGACCCTGTTGCCACTGTGTGCGAGCAGCTCTCTTGCTCGGATTCCTGGGTTTGTTGCGACATGTCATGTTACGGTGGTGTCGTCGGTATCAAGGTACCAAAACTTGTTTTTGGCCACTCTTCTGGAATGATTGTCAGAAAAGTCCAGCAATTTTTTGATAAAGATAACCTTGTGAAGGTCAGTGGCCTCGTAAACATTTTTTTTACAGCAGATTTGACCGTCATGCTTTTGATAAGCGAAAAAGAGCCATTAATTGGCGCTGATTGGGTGCCAGCAGCCACGTTACCACCATTTGCAGTCGCCTCGAATTTGAAATCAATGTGAAAGTAAACATTGTACCAGTCGTAGAAATTGTCCCGATATATGACGGAAAACTTCTTCCCATTCTTACGTTGGGTTTGATTGTTTCCGGAAAAAGTCAGCGGGGTGTCGAGATTGAACTGGGCATATTCTGTCTTCTTCACAAAGGCGCGGTGTTCTGAACATGGTCTATATCATGGGATAAAAAATTAAAATTTTCAAAGTTGATTCACCAAAATTCGGTTTAGTTTCATTATCACGTCCTGAGATGTGGGCCGCGAGGTACTTTGTTTTCCAGAATTTGTTTCAGTTTTGCCGCAGAAGCCTCTGAAGGGGATGGTATTGTTTCGCAGACGTTTTTGAATCCTGTCAGACCCCTTTTCTGCAGCTTTTTCACTAAGCTTTTCGTCGGCTTTTTCTGTGGCGACTTTGGCAGCCTTTTTCGCAGCGCTTTTTGCTAAGATGTGAACACCTTTCCGATGGCCATGAGAGTGTCTCGAACCACACCCGATCCCTCGGTTTATACCTGTACGTGCCAGGGTGTTCGTCAAAAAACTTTGTCCACTCACTCGGATGATTCTTTGTATATATCAAGGAAAGATTTTATTCCTCTTCGATCATGAGGCCAGGTGCAACGTCATGCTGTTGCGTCCATCAGAGACCCAAATTCTGATGTAATAAATCTGGCTTTTGTTTACCGGATGCCACTCAAGGCGATTTAAGGTTCTTTTTGAAAGGGGTAGCTGACCTGGAGGTTTGTAGTTAAAAAGGTGAAAACAGCACACTGCTTCCAACGTCATTGGCTCGTCGGGCGATAAGGTCGCAGTGAAGAAACACCAAGTCAACGCTGCGCGAAAAATTGGTTTGCTTCTTTCGTTCTTTTTCTCGAACCTCAGCAAGCTGGAAAGTCTCCCTGGGTAAGGTCGAACTCATAGTCTTTATGCAACAGAATGACAATCGAGTAACTTGTCATGTTGAAATAAAGAGTTACAATGGGTTTGTCGCTGTCCTTAGCTGTGTGAGCCTGTATGTAGTTGTTTATGTCCGCGTAATCGTACGTTCCGTCAGCAAAAGTCAAGGTTGCCCAGGTGCCAGCTTTTTTTCTTTGTCCCAGCTTGTTGTTGCTGTAGTCTTTCCCAATGTTGTACTAAGAGTAGCTCATGGTTATCGGTTTATTCAACGCTGCTTTGTAAATTTTGGGGATCTAAAAAGATGGGGGTGCTCAAAATGAAACGTAAAATCGAAGGAGCCTTGGTTATATCATTTTGCGGGATTGGAATCCAGTAGCAGGTTGAGGGGCATCACCTTATATTAATCCTAAAGAATTTTTCTTTTTCTTTTTGGTGATTATGCTATTTTCATGAAGCTTGTCAAGTAGACAACAGAGCTGGGTTTTAAGCTTGACCGATGTGTTGCCGCTTTTAACCTAGTCCAGACTCACGAAGTGTTGAATAACTGGGTTTGCGAACTCGTTTGCAAAACCTTTCCTTAAAAACTCCTGCTCGTCTGCGCTGTGGCTATTGTCCTGTGGGTCAATCGCAGCCCTTCGTCTTAAAACCGCACTTTCCAGCGGGCTTCGAGGGGATTCTTTTCTTTTAAGTGGGGGCGCAGGTCCCAGTCTTCTCCTCCCCTCCTGAAGCTGTCTCAGCAGCGGTTTGGCTCCCTTTCTTCGCGCCAGAATCTCATCTCGTACCATTTCGAGGTCTCTGACTGAATAACCGTAAATATGGATATTTTGCTTTTCAGTCTGTAACTGGGGTCGTTTTTTTATTTCTTGATGAGCTGATCAACAGTCTGCAAGTCAGTGGACTCGTTCACCATGACCATCACCATCATCAGTTATTGGTGGTGGTGGTGGCGGAAAATCATCAGGCAGCGGTGGAGATGTTGGTAGTGGTGTTTCAACCTCTGGCATGAACTCTGCATCAAACGGGTTAGTTCTGTCGAACTCATCGATGGCGTAATCAGCTTCCACCCCTTTCTTCCTCTTCGGAAGTTCCCGCGCCTGGGCTCTTTTCAATTCTTTTCGTGATTGGTTTGAAGAGTTCTTCCCCCGAACTTTGCCCAAACTCTTTTTTGATTTTGTTCATTTTAAATTTCTGGAGGATGTCTTCTTATTCAGCAACCTCCGCCATCTCCTCAGCCTTTTGTCTCCACTTTGACACGGACATGTTTTCCTGGTTAGTATATCTGTCTGGATTTGCTTAAAGGTACCTCCAGGTTTTTTTTTAGCAACGGTCTCATTTGAGGCTTGTTCAGTATTTGACCATGTTTTTTTCTTATTATAATTTCACTACAAAAAAGCCCCAACAAGCTGCAGTTGGCAAAGAACATATGTGTTTATAATGCTGTTTACATCTTTACATCTTGCACCACTCCCCCTCTCCCCTCTCCCCTACCTTCCATTTTCCTTAAGTCTCTCCTTATCATAAAACACTACAACATTTGAGATCAGCCCGCGCGGTAGAAGCTGTTCTTTCTGGCCACCTGCAGCAAAGGTTTCCGGAAGGCGTCATTAAGCCCTATGAAGGAACAAGTCTCACGATTTGCAAAGTCTGTCGTCTTCCAATAAGTTACCGTATTTCTCCTCAATTTGGCTAAACGGGTGAAACACTGATCTCGGGCATGAGACGGAAAGTCATCATATTGCGAGCTTTGATGTGGGCGGTGACGAGTCTGTGGCCTCAAAAGTAGTTTGTAGGAGTCAAATCTATTCGGCAAGAGCAAAATTGATGCTGATTTCTGACCATACCAGAGACTAAGTTAAAAATTGTTTTGAAGGCCGGTCTCAATGTGTCCCTTTCAAAACGGCGCGCCTACATCCGGGATCTTGAATAAATCGACAGAGTCAGGAAAGTTTACATGTGATTATTTATGTGGAGAAAGCGAAGGTTATTGAGCGAGAGTAATTTGATGATATTTGGCCCGTATTAACTGTGGAAAATTTGTGCCTGTTTGGTTGATGTCGTGGTGATCATGTTATATTTTAGAATAGGATTTTTCGCAGACAGAACAGAACCAAGTCATGTCAAATCCTCAGGAGAAGAATGTAGACTGTGATAGAGGTGGATTGTTGGGCATTTATATAGGTTTTCAGACCATAAAATTCGATTTTTTTCTTCCACCACCACCACCACCACATCTCTATTGCTTTCCCTCCACCACCACCACCACTTTTTTATTGTTTCCCTCACCACATATCTATTGCTTTCCTCCACCACCCCTAGCACATCTCTATTCTTTACCCTCCGCCATCACCACCATCACTTTTTCATTGTTTCCCCTCCACCACATATCTATTCTTGTCCTCCATCACCACCACCACCGCCGCCACATTTCTATAGTTTTCCTCCACCACCCCTAGCACATTTCTATTCTTTACCCTCCGCCATCACCACCACCACTTTTTCATTGTTTCCACTCCACCACATATCTATTCTTGTCCTCCATCACCACCGCCACCACATTTGTATTGTTTTCTATCCTTCTCCTACTCGCTTAATATTTTTTTCCTCCACGAGACTCTATAAAAGACTGCCAACTGCCATTTTGTAGCAATGCCTCGTGTAGTCAACAAAAATCGTGGTTTTCTTCAGCTGTTAGCTGATTGCCCTGCTCGTCAGCGCCAGTTTCTTTTAAAGACAGCTACTCCACAACGACTATATAAACTAGTCCAAGTCTTATACAATATGCGTGTGGGATACATTTCCATCCCGAAGAAAATAAGTGGATATTACTGTCATATAAGGAAGCTTACAAAACAAACAAAAAGTCCTTCTACAAGAGGTTAGTGGTTTTATTGAAGACTTATTAAGTCCCCGTTGTTTCTAATGCTATAAAAGAGGTGACACATCGCTAAGTTGATCATTCGAAGTTACGTCTCCCATGGGTACTCATCAAAATGAGGAAAAAGATTTGGTTGAAGAAGAGCTTGGGAGCATGAAGAAAGCGAAGGTTCTGGTGACGAAAGCGAGGATGAAGAACCAAGAATAAAAATGTTCTGAGTCATCTTTCCCGAGCGGTGTCGAAAACGCGTGTCCGGATTTACTGCATAGTATAGCCGCTTCCAAAGTTATTCTTTTGTTGGCTCCCCGAGGACAATTACTTTGAAATAAACAAATAATTCCCGTCAAAAACATCGCCGAGCTACTTGAGTACGTGTTACTTCCACATAACAATAAAGTTACCAAACCTCGTGCGCTGAATACGTATTGACTTGCGGAGTTAGAAGTCGATAAAGGTTTAATCGAGAACAAAACGTTGCTGAGCGATTACTAGTAAAGGAAAAAGGCTACCGAAATGCAGAAAATACTTCCGATAACGAGAGTAATAATGAGGAGAGTTCGTTGGATATTGAAAATCAGGAGGGGGAGGAAGTGGCTCCTCAGAATGGCAGTGAGACTGAAAACACCCAAGAGAGTGACAACGGCACTGAAAATAACAGTAAGGAAGCAGAAAGTAGTAGCCTTGAAACGTCCACCACCTTTCACTCTTAAAGTTCCTGTACATGTGAGCATCGTGAGAACTCTAATGCGTACGGGACATTGATCATGAAATGTCCTAAATGATTTTTAGCATGATTACTACAAGATTTTTCCTACATGCGATCACCAGATCCCCGAGGAGAGAAATTACATCAAAGAGGGTTTTCTTCGGTGTCATGATTGTGGAACAGTTACACACAAAAACGCGAAGACGTTGGAAACCAATTTCTATTTTTCTTGTAAAGAGGAGAACGAAGAAGAGAATTAATTAATTTCCGTCCCTTTCAAATCGCTGTGTATTTTACTCTTTTTGTCATTGGTTTTCAATAAAGTTTTTAAAACAATATCTCGTGTCTTTTATCGCTACAAATTATTAGTCGCGTGTTTTAATTGATCCTTGCTAAGTTATTAATTTTCTTTGGTTTTTATAATAGTACGTCAAGGTTCTCCCTTGGAGTTTTTACTGCAGAGCTGAGCTAATTTGTATGCAAAGGTGGGCTTGTTAACTCGCATAATAAACTGACTAACGGCGCTTGAAACTACAAGACTTTAATAGTTTAGGGTTAGGGTTTAGGGTTAACGTTTTACAGCTCAAGGAAATTAAGGCATGGGTGTTTTTTAAATTTCCCTCAAAAAGTCGAGGGGTGGTCTTTTTTTTGAAGATTAAGTCATATAGGGACGAAACTTGAGTAAAATAACGACTTTCAAAAGTTTATGCGATTCCGAGTAAAAAAATATGTAAATTAGGTCAGATGACCTTCAACGGCCACTTTGCGCGAAAAAAACGTAAATTAGAAATGGCACCATTTTATAAAAGTAGTCAATCAAAGAAATTGCAAACAAACATATCGCTAGATGAACGATTAGACATCTGTGCCCGGGCTTTGTTAAATAATTTATTGCAAGTGAAAATAAACGGAATTTTGTACTAGTACCCAGTCCCCTTATCAAACGATTTTCGAAATTCGTTGCTGTCTAAAAGATTAACTTAAAAGGCCCGCACACAGAAATGATGTACCCACTAGTCTCATAACTATGACGATAACTGCAACTTCCAGAAAGTAATTAAAAGTGGTGCCATATTGCCAAAAAGATTTTTGTGCTAAAAATAGCCTTAATAGGTCTTGTGACAATTAGTGACTCCAATCATCATTCAAAGTTATTAATCTTATACTCATTAAGTTTGTCCTTAAGTAATTTTGCGCTATACTGAAAGCTTAAGAAGTTAAACCACCACCACCCCCTCTGTTTTTGAGGAATTGAATAGAAGACCCATGCCTTAATTTTCTTGAGAGGACCTGCATTGATAGCAATTTTTTCCTAAAACTGATGTAGCAATCCTGTAGAGATATGTTTAAATTGTTATTATTATTATTATTATTATTATTATTATTATTATTATTATTATTATTATTATTATTATTATTATTATTAAAGCTATGGTGATAAAAAGTGAACAGAATTTCCAAAAAGCGAACAAATTGTTTCCTTAGCAAAGCGATTGCAAGAAAGATAGCGCTTTCGAAATCTGACCCGCTTTTATTTTGAACACATAATACATTCTACATGAGCCAATCAGGGTTAAAAGAAACCAGGCAGCCTAGGCAAGCCTATTGTTCCTATTGAATAAGAGAGACGCCCATTAGTAAACCTATACCGAATTAGTATGGTGGAAGACACTGACTAGGCACTTAATTAGTATGGAGGAACGCACTTTTTTCCCTAGGTTGTAACTATGGGTGATGTCATGGACTCGACCCTTACGCAAATTCATAAAGGGAACGCACTAAAAAGGCGTAAATAATCCTTCTACCACTACTCACGTTTTAACAGCAGAAGGCTTGCTTTTTAATTCAGAAAACAGCAAATGTGAACAGAGCGAAATAACGCGCAACCGTCCGTAGCGAAGCCATTGCCATCTCAGCCCAACTAAAAACGTTTAAACAAATTTTAACCGTCTAAAAGTGTTGCATCAGGAGGACTAAAGGGACGGAAATCAGGACGAAAGAGACATTTTAGGGACAGTAAGGACAAATCAGGGCCTTTCAGGACAAAAAGAGACAATCGGGATATTGAAGGCTTTTTTACTTTACTTTCAGCGCGCCGGTTCTCCGACCAGACATATTGGACCAATGAAGGCGACTCTTTCTCCGTAATAAATTGTTATAAAATAACTTTGGCGCTAAAAAAATGTTATACAAGTAGCTTCCTCCAACCCGTGCAGATCAATGCGTCATTACTAGCAGCTCTTACACGCCCGTTCCTTACGCAATTCACAGTTATAAGTTGTAAGGCTCTTATGAGGCCGATGTGGTGGGCTCAAATACAATGGCAGACGCCCAGTTACCTCGGCTTCAGCAATATATCCTTTCAAAGACCTTGTTTAATAGCTGCACACTACTTACTGAACCTTAGTTGCTCTTTGAACAAGGAAATTGTCAATAAATTTAATAAATACTTTGTTAACGTGGGCCCAAAACTTTGCGAAGAAAATTACTATTCCAAAAAGCTTGAAAACGTTAAGTTTTGTTCCCATTTACAAGTTTTGGAATTCGCAAACGCTAAATAGTTTTAGAACCATTTCATTGCTTCCACGTTTCTCAAAGATATCAGAGAAAAGTATGCACAAACGGTTAATTAATTACATAAATAAGAAAGGGATTCTAAATAAAAACCAATATGGCTTT